AGCACTTGCTTGCACGCTTTGCGCTGGGGGTTTGGAGTTTGGGCACACTATCCATGTCTTGTTGGTGTTTCAGGCATACTGCAGCCTTGCCCATGCTTTTCTCGCTCATGAGTTGAAGTGAAGGCTACATGGGGGGTGCACTTGTGTTGTGTGCAAGCCTTGCCATGTCTTCAGGGGATAAGGGTGCGTCGGTAGGTAGCTCCGTGCTCGATTGGTCGATTTGCTATCGGCTAAAAGCTCCGGTGGCACTGCCGATGCCCATTTTCTGAGCTAGAATGCGAAATTGTGGAGTATGGTGCATGGTTTAGCATGACTTGTAGTATGAAGGCATGGTGGTCAGGTCATGCCCACAAGTGATATGTCATTTCTGTGGGTGTTAGATCAGCTCTATTAGAGTAAACCAGAGAATAACAAGGTGCCTGTACAGTTGTATGGTCGCGTGCCGGCGCACTTTGCCTTATCTTGTGCAGTTGTGCCATATGCTGTATTTCTTGTTCAAATCATGATTCCCTGTTCTTTCTTATATCAGTATGGGCTTGTTTCTTTGTAGGGTATGAGAGACGAAAACAACAGCTAGAGGATAGCTCAGATTAAGCTCTTTCATCAAGGATAGAATGGGTGGCTGCTGCTGTTGTGCATCAAGAGCGGAAGCGGATAGAGCACCGGTTCACATCTATGTATGTAGACCCTGTTTTATGCTCTGTGAATTCACAGTGTTCTCTGATTTGTGTGCCACTGTCAACTATGAAATGACCTGACGTTAGTGTCAGGGTGGTCTCTACCATCTTCCTTGCATTTCTTTTATATGAAGATCAAATCAGATTATCCACAATCACGATACTCATATATTTATATTTAAGTTGTTTTATGTTTTGTGCTAATAATTTAAGTTGTTATATGCAACACGCTCTGCTCATTTGTTGATCTGGCATGTGCGAGTCATCAGTGCGTGTTCCAGAATTAGCTGATGTTTTACTTGCACATGCTTATAATAGCGGAGTGCTACAAGTTTAACTGCCTTCTTTGCAGTTTTTGGTGCAACATGACAAATTATGTTACCTACAGCGTGCATCTCCCATTTGTGTCTTCAGTTCTAGATGATTTGGCATTGTAGACTCTGGCCTTTAGGCAATATGCTGCTCCCTGTAAACCTGTAATGTTGTCTACTGATATGTACACACTTTGGCAAAAATGACAGCCTCCTCTTTGTTGGTAATTTGCACAAATTGTCATGATTAATAATGACTAGGTGGTACCTCTGTTTTGTCAAGTACGGCATTATTAGTCACTTGATGTTGCTAAGACTGTTTGCTTTGCTTTATCCAGCATCAGCAAAACCAAGAGGAGCATGAACCTTTATCTTCTGCCTTTGACGGGTCATCTCCAGCTTCTGCTATAGTCGCAGTTGACACAAACCTGGACACATCCACTCCTGACACTTATCGGGCACCACCTGCACCATTGCCTTATGATGTTAGTTTGCCAGTAGAAAACCCAGGTAAAGCTCTTATGGTCTTTGAGGTTAATTAGAATTTTTTTAGGCTTATTAGAATTAACCTAGTAATGGTAGTGAGGCAAGTTTAATTTTTCATGTGCAGATCTGGAGAAGTCAGATATTAAAAGCAAAACAGATGATCAGCAGGAATCTCTGAAGGTGGATGAATACGAATCATGTGAAAAAGGTGCCCCTGAAGATAAGATCGAGGAGGAGGATGTTTGCCCTATCTGCCTTGAAGGTTGTTTTTCTCTTGATCATTTGTTGATACTGTCTTTACTTGGTTGTGGAACTGGATGAACATGTTTGTGCTACTCTTCCTATAGCCTGCTGATTTCTTGTTGACAGGGTAAATTGGCGAAGAGATTGATCTTATTTAGTTGAAACATAACCATTTGTTATTTCTCTAATGATGGTCGAGGGTTATCTTACCCAGAATCTGTCAGTCAAACAAGTGCTGGTGTTCCAGTTATTTTTCTGCATTTGGTTCAGATGTATGCATTATTTATACATTCATATCAGTGGATGGATAATTCTGCATGCTTATAAGTCTTTTCTTCATTGGAGCCTTAAACAGTTCACTTGTGAGATATAAAATAGGAAGTTCATCATGCTGCAGTTTCTGGTTGCTGATGCATGCGACACTCCCATTATCCTCCACTGATGCACCAATGGATGTTCTAAATCTAAGCTGTATGTTTTGCTGGACCATAAAATTCCTTATAATAACCTTTCTTTTTGTCCTCTCACCAGAATATGATGAAGAAAATCCCCGCTCTATCACCAAATGCGAGCATCATTTCCATCTTTGTTGCATACTCGAATGGATGGAGCGAAGCGAGACTTGCCCAGTCTGTGACCAGGTTAGTATGGTAAAACGCATATAGCTCACTAAAGACAGTGCCGTCGACGCATGTCAATGTGTTTTCTGTTGTCGTGCCCTGTATGGCTGTATGTATGTTCATTGTGAGACACGTTGCATGGAAAGGTATACTTTAATAGGTGTTTATCATTCTGAAAAAGCTTAGATGCAAACTTTCTGATGATGCTGATCAGTATGAATTTAAGAGGACAACCTGTGGATATCTCTTCGATAATATTTGTGACGATTTGTTATTGGCTATCATTTTCTTTTCAAGTCCCCAATTTGTGATAATTCTGTTTTTGCACAAATTATCTGCAAATAAATATGGTACCTTGCCTTGACGAAAGCTTCTCGTGCTATGTTGCAGATAACTTTGATAGATGAGATGTATGAATAGCATGTTGACCCTGGTGGATCTTCTCTAGGAGCTCGTGTGTGCCTGCCGAGGAGGTTTAGTACTAGTCCTTTTCTCTATGGGGAAGTAAAATCAGCAACTACTCTGCTCCTAATATGGTAGTATGATCTGGTGGAGATGCTACTGGAATGCATCTTGGGAGAACAAATGGGAAATAATGAAAAACACAAGCATCAAGAAATATGTTACCTAAAAAAACATCCATCCCTATGTTTATACTAGCATTTGTGTCGAGCTGTGGCTGTTTATGGTAACAGGAGGATTAGCTGGCTGCATCTGCAACATGCACTTCATACTAGTCGAAACTCTGAATCTAGCTCTTTTTTTTTTCATGCTTTCTGGATTTTGGGTCGTGTTTTCTGTGATTCGTCGAGCGTCTGTATAAACCATCACATACTTACTAGATATAGGGTGACAACAAGTATAAAAGAACTGGTTCTGAATTGTGTCTTCATTTGTATATCCTTACACCCTGAATCTTCTCCTGTTTGGTGATCCGAGCTGTCCCTGTTTTTCAGCTTATGTTTCTTGTTGAGTAATCCATCTTTCGGTGCGGCGCATAGTTTTATCCGCCGGCAGAATTGTTCTTTAGCTGCTGATGTTGCTCTCGTTGACGAATATGTGCGAGCTCAGCTCTTTGTCCGGGCATTATGGGTGATAGATTTATCATAGTTATTGTTGCGTGTAATCCCATGAAGGTTGACCTTTGAACAGGTCTGGTTGTGACAGCGAAGCCACACTTGAGACTTAATCAAGCGGTTTCGGTACTATGAAATGCTGGCGCTGCTCTCTTGTGCCACAAGTGGCTGCCGTCCGAGGACATTGACACGGTCCCTCCAAGCACATTTACTCGGCAATTGTCTTATAAAATAGGGTCATGTATATCTAAGTCAACTGACATTTTCGTATGTCTTAAGACAATTTTAGAACGCACAACTTCAGTCGTAGAGTCGTAAGGCTGAGGTTTTTGCTATAATTTTGTTGATTGAGGTATTCTTACGTCTTAAGACGATTCTAAAAAGATTGACTTCAATTTAGTCTTTTATGAACACTTTCTAGAAATTGCGGTGATAGAAGAGGAATTGGAATTGCATTTTCCGCAAATTGACTTAGACGTAAGAAAATCTCAAATGATTTACGATTGGAAGCACTTATGTGAAAATTGAAATCATGTGTCCAATCGATCAGAAGGGAATGGCACTGAGCCGTTGTATCGAAAATGAACAAATCCGAGCCGTTGTATCAAAAACAAACATATTCAAGCTGTTTCATCGTAAACGAACGGTGAGGTCGCTTTCTTCTACCTCCTGCCCTTTCTCTCTCTTTGTGTATATGTCTGGCCTGATTGCGCCGCAACGCATTATTTCCCTCACTCCCTCAACTGAGGTCATGTATGACATCGAGCTTAGTAGCTAGCTATCTAATTCGAGTGGCAATGGAAAGGGAAAATGCTTCTCACCAACACTTCACGTTGTTACTGTCTTCGGCGAGGTCCTGGCTCGACGGTCGGCCAACCACATCACCTCCCTCCCTTCCCCGCGGCCCGTGGATCTTCGCAGGCATTCATCTGAAATGGTCTTATCCTTAAATTGTTTTCTGTCTAACAAATAGCGTTTATGAATCATGAGAAGCAAAACTGACAAATTTCACTGTATTATGCAGTTTACTTTCGAGAGAAATCAAGTCGTATGATTCTTAAATGAATCCTTGCCGCTGATCTGGCAGACGGATGGTGTGGGTGGAAGAATTCTCTCCTCTGCCAATGGGCGTTTTATTTATGCCAGGTCGCCTAAAGACACTGCAGCAACTGCATGTGGGTCCGGAAGTGTTCATGGCCCACTTGCAGAGGCACACGGTAATTCCATGGCGAGGGGCGGGCCCACCTGCGGTGCCCGTTTAAATGCTTGATCAAGATGAGCTCGTGGCAGTTGGTAGAGAACTCTTCCACTCTTTGCTGGATGGTTTGCCCGGTCCAGCTCCAGCTCCAGCACACTGGATAGCACTGCAGAGTGGGCCCGGGGCGGCCTCGGGCCCACACGCAGAGACACATTGTATGGTGGGAGGAGGGCCCACGTGCGCTGCGCCGCTGCCTAGCTGGCCGGCCTTCCTTGGATGGACGTGGTCGCGCCCGCGCCCGCGCCCTTGCCCTCTTCTATAAACCGTACGTCGACTTCGCCGCCCGGCTCGCTGGCTGGAGCTGTGGACGTAGCTGTGGCCTGTGGGAGATGGACGGACGCGACCACCGTAGGAGGCTGTCGGCGTCGGGGTCCGGCCGGCGGGAGCGGCTCGGGCCGGCGCCCAGCCCCGCGTGGTCGCAGCAGCTCTCCGTCGGCAGCGGCCGGGCCAAGTCGCTGTTCCGGTCCATCGGCGTCTGGTTCAGCTCCCTCTCCACGCCGTCGTCTCCCACCCCCGCCAAGAAGAAGCGGTCCAAGCAGGCGCCAGCGCCGGCGCATGACGACGCCATCAAGAAGCCGCCTTGTAAGCCTTCCCTTCTTCTCGATCGGCGGACGGCCGGTCTGCTTATTCTCCTTCGTCACCTTGACTGTGTTGGTCTTACTGTTACAGCGTTCGGCGGCTACGGCACCGGGCGGCCGTTGATGCTCCGGGGAGGAACGGGGAGAGGAGGAGGAGGAGGGCTGTACGGCGGCGGGCGGAGGAGCTTATCGCAGACGCAGCAGCAGTACCAGTTCCAGAGCTCGGTGTTCACCATGGAGGAGATCCTCAAGGCCACCAGCAACTTCTCGCCGGCGCTCAAGATCGGCCAGGGCGGCTTCGGTGCCGTGTACAAGGGCGTGCTCCCGGACGGCACGGTGGTGGCGGTGAAGCGCGCCAAGCAGCGGATGCAGAACCCGCACGTGGACGTGGAGTTCCGGAGCGAGGTCAAGATCATGGCGCGCATCGAGCACCAGAGCCTCGTCCGCTTCTACGGCTACCTGGAGCACGGCGAGGAGCGGGTGGTGGTCATCGAGCACGTCCCCAACGGCACCCTCCGCGAGCACCTCGACCGCCGCCACGGCCGCTTCCTCGAGCTCGCCGCCCGCCTCGACGTCGCCATCGACGTCGCCCACGCCGTCACCTACCTCCACATGTACTCCGACCACCCCATCATCCACCGCGACATCAAGTCCTCCAACATCCTGCTCACCGCCTCGCTGCGCGCCAAGGTGGCCGACTTCGGCTTCGCCCGCCTCGGCGCCGGCGGCCTCGGCCACGGCGAGGGGGGCGGTGGGGCGAGGCACGTGTCCACGCAGGTCAAGGGCACCGCGGGGTACCTCGACCCGGAGTACCTCAAGACGTGCCAGCTCACGGACCGGAGCGACGTCTACTCCTTCGGCGTCCTCCTCGTCGAGATGGTGTCCGGGCGCCGCCCCATCGAGCCCAAGCGGGAGATGAAGGAGCGGCTGACGGCGCGGTGGGCGATGCGGAAGCTCGTCGAGGGAAAGGCGGCGGAGGAGGTGCTCGACCCGTGCCTGCTGCGGACCGGCGCGGCGGCCACGGCCGTGGAGGCCGTGCTGGAGCTAGCGTTCCGGTGCATGGGGCCCGTCCGTGACGAGCGGCCCAGCATGGACGACTGCTGCCGCGCGCTCTGGGCCGTCAGGAAGACCTACAGGGACACGGTCTCCGCCATGGCCGCCCCCGCCGACGCCTTCTCCGACCGGGCCAGCTCCTCCAGCGCCAGCACCGGCACCAGCACCACCGGCGATTTCTGCCGGATGTAGTTTTGTTTTGATTTGGCCTTCTTCTTGTAAATATTTATTTTATTTTTGGGAACACGACACGTGAACTATATAGCTTTTTTTTTTGCGGGTGAGTGAACTATATAGCTTTAAAGACTTGGTTGATCAAATGGGCCAATTGACCATGAACCAAGCGACTTGTAATTAAACACTTGATGTAATACTTACACAAATTAAAATTTGTATTAGAGAATGTTTGTGTGAGTCTTCATGATACTTTTTCTTAAAGAAACCTATTCTTGAAGGCTTATTGACTTGTACTCCCTCCATAAAGTAATATAAAAGTGTTTAGATCACTTTAGTGATCTAAATACTCTTATATTAGTTTACAGAGGGGGTAACAAATTAACATTATTCTCCGACCGAGCCAGCTCCTCCAGCACCAGCACCGGCACCACCGGCGATTTCTGCCCAATGTAATTTTGTTTTGATTTGGCCTTCTTCTTGTAAATATTTATTTTATTTTTGCGAACACGACACGTGAACTATATAGCTTTAAAGACTTGGTTGATCAAATGAGCCAATTGACCATGAACCAAGTGACTGTAATTAAACCTTACAACTTAAAGTTTGTATTAGAGAATGTTGCGTGACTCTTCATGATACTTTTGGCTGACTAAATTTTGAGGAGTGTTCCATTTTTTGTTATTTTAGCTGCGGGGATGTCTTATTACGCACGGTTGCTATATGTAAGTTGACTGAATTTGTAATTTGGGTAAGTTAATTTTGTGAGAGAAAGAATGGTTGGAGGAGGAGGAAAGCTGGAGAGAGAAGTACGATGGTTGGATCTTAATCTATGGTTCAAAACTTGATTTACCCAAAATAATTTTTCGGCCTACTTACATATAGCCAATCCGCTTATTGCGTGTTTCTTAATGGTGATGTCTCCGCCCAAGCCTAGCCCGGACAGCTCCCAGGTCTAGTAACAACAACCCTTCTAATTGCTTCTCAAAGTATAGAAAATCACCACTGTGCATCACTGAAGCTAGTTTAGCCCTAAACGTAACGCCCCCGACTGAAGGATCACATGTTGACCAATCAAGGCATGTCAACTCCGTGCATCATTATGTTGCTCAATACCATTGGCACATGTGACCGCCTACAATCATTTTCAAAGTATCGTTGTCCATACTTATGTCTGCAGCCTGAAAGTCTTCACGTTCAACCAGGCAATAGGGAAGGACACTCAAGTGGAGTCTCAGTTCACTTGCTAATGCTATTCATTTCGTGTTTGCTTTTAGGTCCCACAATACGTGTCTAGCTAATGAATTGCGACATGTGTCCTAGTCTATTTGTTCTCAGTTTTATAATTCAGTTTCTCTATTTGTCCAATACATGACCCAATACACCGAGGCATCACACATTTTTTTTTGGTTTTATATGTATACTTCTAACAAGTTCAACAACTATGTGAGCTTATGCATCTTCCAGAATCTTGAAAAATCAGGTCTTCATCAAGCAACATCCATATTAGTTTCAATGGAGAACTATATGGGTGTGTGAGTGCATCATCTGCCAATCGCACCTATGTACCCACATTAAAGCCACTATTATATAAATCAAGTATCTCATGATAGGTATCCTGTTGAGTTTGCTCCTACTATTATGACTGAGAATAAATTTGCTTATCTAGAAAGCATCCAAAGACCACAATATCATCACAACAGAGAGACAAAATGAAGTGTTCATTCATACACAAACAGTGAGATTTTTGAGTTTGATTGAACCAAAAAATGTTGCATATTCAGTCATAAAGGTAACTGAACATCCAAAAGGGATGAAGATGCTCCGGTTTTAGTCAAAGCAAGCTTAATCATAAGTCCAAGCACATTGGTCACACATGCAGGCAACACCCTAAAGCTTTTATTTCCCTACAAACAAGGCCAAAATTTTGACAAGTCGTCAGAATTTCAGTTAGAAATTTCGGCAACATAACACGTCCGATGGCCAAAGATTGAGGACCATAACAATTATGTATGGTATTATAACTAAGATATCATATATATACATGTGTGAGCAGGAATACAAGTTGGGTGCTCTACCCCCTCCTCCTAGCATCACTAGTAGGATTTTGATCTGTAAGAGCTAGCTAGCTACTTGCTACTCCAAAGCAACACACCAAGCAAGCTATCATTTGCTTGCTATTATTCACAATTCCGAAAAGAAGAAACTAACCAACCAACGTGTCCATCCATCATCATGGCCTCAGGCTTCACAACCACGTCATCCTTCCTTCCTCTGTCACACTACAAGCTAGCAAGAAGTAGCCAGGAGCACATTCTTGTTCTAGCAATGGAGGCTCACAAACAAAAAATGTTTCTCCTCCACTGGTAAAACAATGTTCGAGCACAATACTTGCGAGTACACTTACAGAGCTAGACATTCTGAACTGTAGGTAGAATCAAGACTTTGCTGCCATGTTCGCCACCACCAATCCTACACATAGCAGGGAATGAATGAACGATGCAACTATTATTAATAAGAGAAGAGCGCACCTATCAAGATGAAAGAAATGAGAAAGGAAAATGCAGCTTTTACAGGCCATTTCCATGCAAAATGAACTCACTGAAGTAGTACCAGCATCAAATTCACAAACTAAATAAATGTGCACCTGGTAGGAAGACTTGTTGATGATATGGATCTCAATTGTGCATCTAGCTGTTGGCATAGCTTTGCCACAAATGTACTACCAGCATCAACTTTAGAAACTAAATAAATGTTGAATAGTGACCATAGTGAGTGTTGTCCTACAAATCAGTTTCCATTTTATAGGCCATTTCCATGCAAAACGAACTCACTGGACAACTGCCCCACAATAGAAGAGAGAAAATGTTCAATCAAGGCCAACTAACACAAAATAAGGTTATATATGATCCATCTAAGCATGGCATAAGTGACCATCTACTATACTAAGTCATGATGCATCTCAGCCATTAAGTCCCATCCTACATGCATTATAGAGAATAAAAACGACCTACAGACAAAGAAAAACCACTCACACCCATGCACGATATAACCGTAATAGAAGTGAGCTGCAATGATCAAAATTGGCAGAAAGCTCATCGCGGTGAATGATTTGAATTCAACAAGACATCTTTAGAGATCTCTATCTCTCATAGTTTTGTCCATGAAGCATGAAGCTACATGCTGTTTTTTCACACACGAAACTTGAGCTAACATGCATGAGCTTATTCCTGATTAACTGAAAATGATGAAAAATTTGCAACACAATGCACTCAGTACTAACCAATAACCATCGAACGCTGCATAGAGCATAAATGTACTACTGCATAGCCGATTTAATCAAGATTCCAACCTAAACAGGACGGAGGAAACATTGTCCAAGATACTGAATGTACGGTAAATGATTCCTTATTGGAAACAAACTTATATAACAAAGCATATTTCTCAGCATGAACCTAGCAAGGAAATATCAAAGATGGCCTGATAATATTCAAATCGACTCCCGTTCTTCATCAATTTACTAATGGGGCTTCC